AGGCCTAGTGTACGGTTCTGACTGTCTGTCTGGTGACTGACCTGCCTATACTGATAGATAGGCCTAGTGCACGGTTCTGACTGTCTGTCTGGTGGCTGACCTGGCCTATACTGATAGATAGGCCTAGTGCACGGTTCTGTCTGTCATGGTGGCTGACCTGCCTATACTGATAGATAGGCCTAGTGCACGGTTCTGACTGTCTGGTGGCCGACCTGCCTATACTGATAGATAGGCCTAGTGCACGGTTCTGACTGTCTGTCTGGTGGCTGACCTGCCTATACTGATAGATAGGCCTAGTGCACGGTTCTGACTGTCTGCCTGGTGGCTGACCTGCCTATACTGATAGATAGGCCTAGTGCACGGTTCTGACTGTCTGGTGGCCGACCTGCCTATACTGATAGATAGGCCTAGTGCACGGTTCTGACTGTCTGTCTGGTGACTGACCTGCCTATACTGATAGATAGGCCTAGTGCACGGTTCTGACTGTCTGTCTGGTGGCTGACCTGCCTATACTGATAGATAGGCCTAGTGCACGGTTCTGACTGTCTGGTGGCTGACCTGCCTATACTGATAGATAGGCCTAGTGCACGGTTCTGACTGTCTCGTGGCTGACCTGCCTATACTGATAGATAGGCCTAGTGCACGGTTCTGACTGTCTGGTGGCTGACCTGCCTATACTGATAGATAGGCCTAGTGCACGGTTCTGACTGTCTGTCTGGTGGCTGACCTGCCTATACTGATAGATAGGCCTAGTGCACGGTTCTGACTGTCTGGTGGCTGACCTGCTTACTGATAGATAGCCTAGTGCACGGTTCTGACTGTCTGGGCTGACTGCCTATACTGATAGATAGGCCTAGTGCACGGTTCTGACTGTCTGTCTGGTGGCTGACCTGCCTATACTGATAGATAGGCCTAGTGCACGGTTCTGACTGTCTGTCTGGTGGCTGACCTGCCTATACTGATAGATAGGCCTAGTGCACGGTTCTGACTGTCTGCCTGGTGGCTGACCTGCCTATACTGATAGATAGGCCTAGTGCACGGTTCTGACTGTCTGTCTGGTGGCTGACCTGCCTATACTGATAGATAGGCCTAGTGCACGGTTCTGACTGTCTGTCTGGTGGCTGACCTGCCTATACTGATAGATAGGCCTAGTGTACGGTTCTGACTGTCTGGTGGCTGACCTGACTATACTGTGCCCCTCCTCTCTCTCTCCGTCCCTCGCTATGAAAGATGTGAGTGTTTGTGATCTCGGAGGAATGGCAACTATTCAGTCTCCACTGTTCCAAAAATACAGAATCTTAGGAGTATCTTGACACTCAGAAATGGGAGTAGACTTGCAAGGAGTCGAGGAATCAATTATTTTGAAGTCGACTCTCCACCACTACCTCATCGTCGTTAACAGTTGGAAGAAAGGCAGAGAAAGGCCAGCGGCAGCAGTGAAGTCCTGTATGGCAATACTTTGAGGAGTTAAATGAGAAGGAAATGCAGACTTTTGTGAGGTGGAATTGAGGTACAGTAATGGTAGTACAGGTGCAATGCTGAACCATCTGAACGGGTCGCACCGTGAGACCCAACCCATCTGAACGGGTCGCACCGTGAGACCCAACCCATCTGAACGGGTCGCACCGTGAGACCCAAACCATCTGAACGGGTCGCACCGTGAGACCCAAACCATCTGAACGGGTCGCACCGTGAGACCCAAACCATCTGAACGGGTCGCACCGTGAGACCCAAACCGTCTGAACGGGTCGCACCGTGAGACCCAAACCGTCTGAACGGGTCGCACCGTGAGACCCAAACCATCTGAACGGGTCGCACGTGAGACCCAAACCGTCTGAACGGGTCGCACCGTGAGACCCAAACCATCTGAACGGGTCGCACCGTGAGACCCAAACCATCTGAACGGGTCGCACCGTGAGACCCAAACCATCTGAACGGGTCGCACCGTGAGACCCAAACCATCTGAACGGGTCGCACCGTGAGACCCAAACCGTCTGAACGGGTCGCAACGTGAGACCCAAACCATCTGAACGGGTCGCACCGTGAGACCCAAACCATCTGAACGGGTCGCACCGTGAGACCCAAACCATCTGAACGGGTCGCACCGTGAGACCCAAACCGTCTGAACGGGTCGCACCGTGAGACCCAAACCGTTGCACAGCTGCATTTTGAATTCAGAAGATTGTTTCACCATTTGTCACATACCTAATCTAGGAAGACTCTCGCTGCTCTGGAAGACCAGGTGCTTTCGCTCTCCAACGCTGATGTGAGGAAAACCTTAAAAAGAGTGAATACTCACAAAGCTGCCGGCCCAGATGGCGTCCCTGGCCGAGGCCTCAGAGTGCTGGCGGGCGTCTTCTCGGACATCTTCAACCGGTCCCTGTCCCAGGCTGTAGTCCTTACCTGCTTCAAGGAGTCCACCATCGTCCCAGTGCCCATGGAAAAACAAGGTGACATGCTCGAATGGTTATCGCACTCACCCCGGTCATCATGAAGCGCTTCGAGAGGCTGGTTATCGCACTCACCCCGGTCATCATGAAGCGCTTCGAGAGGCTGGTTATCGCACTCACCCCGGTCATCATGAAGCGCTTCGAGAGGCTGGTTATCGCACTCACCCCGGTCATCATGAAGTGCTTCGAGAGGCTGGTTATCGCACTCACCCCGGTCATCATGAAGTGCTTCGAGAGGCTGGTTATGACCCTCATCAAGGTCAGCATGCCAGGAAGATCCACGGAAGATGCCATTTATATCGCCTTTCACACGGCCATAACACATCTGGACAAAAGCAACACCTATTTGAGAATGCAGTTCAGCATTCAACGCTATTGTTCCCTCCAAGTTCGACACCAAGCTCAGAGCCCCTGGGTCTGGACACCACCCTCTGCAACTGGATCCTGGACTTCCTGACGGGCAGACCACAGGCTGTGAGGATTGGCAACAACACCTCCTCCTCACTGACTCTTAATACAGGGGCTCCCCAGGGGGGTGTCCTCACCCCTCTGCTGTACTCCCTGTTCACCCATGACTCCGTGGCTTTGCACGACATCATCAAGTTTTCTGACGACACCACGGTCGTAGGCCTCATAACCAACAACGACGAGTCAGCCTATAGGGAGGAGGTCAGTGAACTGGCATTGTGGTGCCAGGACAACAACTTCTCCCTCAACGTCAGCAAAACAAAGTCAGCAATTTTTAAGTTCCTCGGCGTCCACATAACTGAGGACTTGACGTGGACCAACAGCACCACCACTCTTGTCAAGACGGTGCAACAGTGTCTCTACTTCCTAATGCGGCTGAAGAAATTCGGCATTCCGCCCCGGGTCCTCTCCAAATACTAGCGTTATACCATCAAGAGCATCCTGACCGGTTGCATCACGGCCTGGTACTGCTCCGTCCATGACCGCAAGGCCCTCCAGAGGTGACTCACTGGAACCATGCTCCCACCCATCCAGGACATCTACTCCAAATAGTACCTGAGGAAGGCCCGCAGCATCATCCAGGACCCCACACACCCCCCAGCCACGAGCTGTTCTCTCCCTTGGGCAGACGGTACCGGAGCATGAGGTCTGATACCAACAGGCTCAGAGACAGTTTCTATCTACAAACCATCAGACTGCTGAACACTTGAACTGGACTGACCACCTGCACTGATTCTCCACACCTTAGCACACACACAGACACACACACACAGACATACACACATATACATTCATGCTACACACACATCACACCTGCTACCAGACTTGTAGTATGATTGCTAAATACTGCACAATTTAAACATTTGCCCCCCAATCCCCCCTTCCCCAAAACATGTGTAAATATTGGACTATAAATGGTCCCTTCCTGTATTATACTGATACTAAAATGTCTATTCTATTCTACTGAGACATTTACTTTGTGTTCATATTCTTACCTTTTATTATTTCTTATTGTTGTTGAATTGTCCAGAAGGAACCTGCAAGTAAGCATTTTGGTTGGACGGTGTAAACCATGTGTATCCTGTACATACGACTAATAAAACTTGAAACTAATTATGTATGTACATTTATGCAAAATAGATAGTAGATTTGAATATTATTCCAATGTTGGGCTTTTTAGAGACAAATATTTAAATGTGAGTGTGGCTGAGTTGACTCATCTATCTGAGTAGTACACATATTAGCAGCGGTGGAAAAAGTACCCAGTCGTCATACTTGAGTGAAAGTAAAGATACCTTCATAGAAAATGACTCAAGTGAAAGTCACCCAGTAAAATACTACTTGAGTAAAAGTCTAAAAGTATTTGGTTTTAAATATACTTAAGTATCAAAAGTAAATGTAATTGCGCAAATAAACTTAAGTATTAAAAGTAAAAGTACAAGTATAAATAATTTCAAATTCCTTAAATTAACCAAACCAGACGGTACCATTTTCTAGTTTTTATTATTTACAGAAAGCCAGGGGCACATCAACACTCAGACATCATTTACAAACAAAGCATGTGTGTTTAGTGAGTCCTCCAGATCAGAGGCAGTAGGGATGACCAGGGATGTTCTCTTGATAAGTCTGTGAATTAGGCAATTTTCCTGTCCTGGTAAGCATTCAAAATGTAACGAGTACTTTTGGGTGTCAGAGAAAATGTATGGAGTAAAAAGTACATAATTTTCTTTATGAATGTAGTGAAGTAAAAGTTGTCAAAAGTAGTACTTTAAAGTATTCTTACTTAAGTACTTTACACCACTGCCTTTAAATCCCTGTGAATGACCTAGAGTAGACCCATAAAACTATTTCATTTGGGACGGTTCATCTTCAGTTCGGGACGATTCTGGAAAGGTGATGAATAAAAGTTAGTTTCGAGCCCTGCTTGGGGGACACCACAGGTGATGGGTTCTGACTTGTCCCCAGTCGTACCCGCCAGGTAAATAGTTTGTTAAACAGGATCCATATGTCATGCCTTGCATACTGTTGCCGTATTTTAAAATAGAGACTTTGATTTCAATCAATGCTATTTTCCTCATCCAGGGCTGCATCTAAAGGCCTTTCTGTCAGCCTGATGGAGAGGTTGATTCAGAAGTATGGAGACTCCGTAGTCAGGATGCTGACCGTGCAGTACCGAATGAACAGTAACATCATGACCTGGGCCTCGGAGCAGATGTACCAGGGCAAGCTCACCGCACACAGCTCAGTGGACAAACATCTGCTCAAGTAACAACTGGCTCCATGGCTGCGTTTACACAGGCAGCCCAATTCTGATCTTTTGCCCAATTATTGGCATCTGGTCTGATGTGGTCAAAATATCAATAATTTAGGCAAAATATCAGAATTGGGCTGCCTGTGTAAACGCAGTCCATTGATCTCACATAAATTATTATACATTTTAATGAGGGTTTAGGATCAGGGTTGGGGTCAATTCCATTTCAAATCAGTGAATTCTGTAATTAAACTGAAAGTCCAATTTTGACTTTCATTCCAGACTTTCAGTTAATTCCTGGATTGACTGAATGAAGTTGACTTTCGCTTTCACTTCATAAATTGAAATGGAATTGACCCCCAACCCTGTAAGGAACCCAGTTCTAACATTGATCTTTCCCCTGAACAGAGATCTCCCAGGAGTAGCCAGTGTTGACGAGACCAGCACCCCTCTCCTCCTCATAGACACAGCAGGGTGTGGGCTCAGTGAGATGGAGGTGACCGACGAACAGTCCAAAGGAAACCAAGGTCAGCTTTCTAAATGTTCTGATAAGGTGTCCTATTCCCTGTGGGTTGGTCGTTTTTATGTATATGATTCTGTTGTGATAATGTTTTTTTACTATTACCAAACCAGAATGTCCCCTAACTCAACACTATGACATAGTCTAAACTAAGAGGAAGCTCACTCGGGTATCTTGTCTTCTTAAATCGAATAAACTAATTGTGATTAACTCTTATTCTGACAAACAGGTGAGGTGGACATTGTGGAACTGCACATCAAAACGTTGACTGAAGCAGGGGTGAAACCCAAAGACATCGCTGTTATTGCCCCTTACAATCTGCAGGTGAGTCAGGGCTGCTTTTCTGCCGTGTTGAACTTTCACCTCTGTTTTTAGTGGAGATCAGTTGAGTTTTTTTGCAGAGCCCAGTGTGTTGTAAGATCTGAAACGTGTTTGTGACAGAAGGTGGGTGTTCTGATGGTCTGTGTTTTAGGTGGATCTCCTGCGCCAGCGTCTCTCAGCGAGACATCCTGATCTGGAGATCAAGTCTGTAGACGGCTTCCAGGGCAGAGAGAAGGAGGCTGTGGTGCTGACCTTGGTCAGATCCAACAGGAAAGGTAAACTAGTGTGTGTGTGTGTGTGTGTGTGTGTATAGTCTGCTTCATCACCAATGTGCTGATGTACTAAGTTTACGTCTCTCCTTCAGGTGAGATAGGGTTCTTAGCTGAGGACCGGAGGATCAACGTGGCGGTGACTCGAGCCAGACGTCACCTGGCCCTAGTGTGTGACACGCAGACCGTCCAGACCCACGCCTTCCTCAAGTCCCTCGTCGATCACATGACCCAGCACGGAGATGTACGCACCGCCTTTGAGTACCTGCAGGTAGGTCAATATCCTTTTGGGATCAATAACGTATCAATCAATCAAGGAATGTTTTTGTAGTCCTCTCCATTTTAAATGTAATTATTTTTGCTATCGATATTGGCAATACTAGCCAAAAATACAGGGCCTTCAGAAAGTATTGACTTATTCCACATTGTGTTACAGCCTGAAATCAAAATGGATTAAATGTAAAAAAAAATCTCTCACAAATCTACACACATTACCCCCGTAATGACAAAGTGAAAACATCCTCCAGTAATCTGCTGTGAGGTCAAAGGCTGTTAATAGAACTGTCATGCTAATACCAGATTATTCACCGTAAGCAGTTTTCTATTTACTGCTCTCGGGTGTCTTCTCCGGCAACTGAGCTAGGAATGGCGCCTGTATCTCTGTAGGGACTGGGTGTATTGATACACCATCCAAAGTGTAATTAATAACTTCACCGTGCTCAAAGGGATATTCAATGTCTGCTTCTTTTTTTTTTTTTTACCGTTCTACCAATCAGTGTCCTTCTTTGCGAGGTATTGGAAAACCTCCCTGGTCTTTGTGGTTGAATCTGTGTTTGAAATTCACTGTTCGACTGAGGGACCTTACAGATAATTGTATGTGTGGGGTACAGAGATGGGGTAGTCATTCAGAAATCATGTTAAAGACTATTATTATAGTCCATGCAACTTATTTGACTTGTTAAGCATTTTTTTAAACTCGTGAACCTTTTTAGGCTTGCCATAACAAAGGGGTTGAATACTTAAGACATTTCAGCTTTTCATTTTAAATTAATTTGTAAAAATGTATAAAAACATAATTCCACTTTGACATTATGGGGTATTGTGTGTAGGCCAGTGACAATAAATCTAAATTTAATCCATTTAAATTTCAGGCTGTAACTAAATACAATTTTGAAAAAGTGAAGGCACTGTGTGTATATATACTGAACAAAAATATAAACGCAACAATTTTAACGATTTTACTGAGTTACAGTTCATATAAGGAAATCAGTCAATTGAAATATATAAATTAGGCCCTAATCTATGGATTTCACATGACTGGGCAGGGGCCCAGTCAATCAGAATGAGTTTTTCCCCCCCAAAAGGGCTTTATTACAGACAGTTTCATCAGCTGTCCGGGTGGCTGGTCTCAGATGCTATTGTGAGGCCGGTTGGATGTACTGCCAAATTCTCTAAAACGACGTTGGTTCAGAAATGAACATTTAAATTCTCTGGCAACAGCTCTGGTGGACATTCCTGCAGTCAGGATGCCAATAGCACGCTCCCTCAAAACATGAGACATCTGTGGCATTGTGTTGTGGGACAAGACTACACATTTTATAGTGGGCTTTTATTGTCACCAGCACAAGGTGCACCTGTGTAATGGTCATGCTATTTAATCAGCTTATTGATATGCCACACTTGTCAGGTGGATGGATTATATTGGCAAATGAGAAATGCTCACAAACAGGGATGTAAACAAATGTGTGTAAAAAATGTGAGAGAAATAAGCTTTTTGTGCGTATGGAACATTTCTGGGATGCTACTGTCAGGCCTACGGGCCCTGGCCCTGTGGTGGGGACCATCTGCTACTGTCAGGCCTACGGGCCCTGGCCCTGTGGTGGGGACCATCTGCTACTGTCAGGCCTACGGGCCCTGGCCCTGTGGTGGGGACCATCTGCTACTGTCAGGCCTACGGGCCCTGGCCCTGTGGTGGGGACCATCTGCTACTGTCAGGCCTACGGGCCCTGGCCCTGTGGTGGGGACCATCTGCTACTGTCAGGCCTACGGGCCCTGGCCCTGTGGTGGGGACCATCTGCTACTGTCAGGCCTACGGGCCCTGGCCCTGTGGTGGGGACCATCTGCTACTGTCAGGGGGCTCCCATGGGCTGAGTTGTATCCTGCAAGGTGATCACGACAGACTCATCCACCCTTAGCTGCTCTAAGGCAAATGTATTTGGGGGGGGGGGGGGGTATGGACACTGGTGCGGTGCGCACTGCATGTCAATTACCCTGAGTATCTGGCACTCAGGCACTTTCCCCTGTTTTTGTCGGTCCGGCTTATGCTGGACAGAACCAACAATATGTCAGTGGTGGCGTACATCAACAGACAGGGAGAGACTCCCTGCCACCCTGCCACCCTGCCACCCTGCCTCCCTGCCTCCCTGCCTCCCTGCCTCCCTGCCACCCTGCCTCCCTGCCACCCTGCCTCCCTGCCACCCTGCCTCCCTGCCACCCTGCCTCCCTGCCTCCCTGCCACCCTGCTTCCCTGACACCCTGCCACCCTGCCTCCCTGCCACCCTGCCACCCTGCCTCCCTGCCTCCCTGCCACCCTGCCACCCTGCCTCCCTGCCTCCCTGCCTCCCTGCCACCCTGCCTCCCTGCCACCCTGCCACCCTGCCTCCCTGCCACCCTGCCTCCCTGCCTCCCTGCCACCCTGCCTCCCTGACACCCTGCCACCCTGCCTCCCTGACACCCTGCCACCCTGCCTCCCTGACACCCTGCCACCCTGCCTCCCTGCCACCCTGCCACCCTGCCTCCCTGCCTCCCTGACACCCTGCCTCCCTGACACCCTGCCACCCTGCCTCCCTGCCTCCCTGCCACCCTGCCACCCTGGGGGTTGATGTCCCTCTCCCTCCTAACCTTGGCTCGCTCCCTATTGCTGGGGAGCAGTGAGCACATGCTTTTGCTTTGGGCGACGCATGTCCCCGGTTGCCTCAACTTGGGTGCAGATCTTTTATCCAGATGGGACCCTCTCTCTCTGGAGTGGAGGCTCTCCCAAGTATGGGACATTTTCGGCAGGGCCGACGTAGATTTTTACGCATCGTGAGAAAACACGCAGTCTAGTTTTCTCGATGAGGGACCCGAGTGCCCCCTTGGAAACGGGCGCTCTGGCGCCCCAGTGGCCTCGGTCCCCTTCTTTACGCGTTTCCACCAGTGGTTCTGATTCAGCCCAAGTTGGAGAGGGTGCGCCATTTAATTTTGTGGCTTCCCATTAGCCCAGGCAGCCTTGGTTCACGGAGATCAATCGCCTTTTAGGCGGGGACCCGTGGAAACTCCCGTTGTGCAGGGACCTGTTGTCCCAGGCACACAGGCAGGTTTGGCAAGTGAGGCCAGAGATTCGGATCTCATGGTCCTGGCCCCTGGGAGGGCCAATCTGATGGCTAGAGGTTTACCTCTGAATGTTATTGCTACCATTCAGTCTGCAAGGGCGTCCTCCATGAGATGGCTGTATGCATATAAGTGGCAAGCGTTTTGAGCTCTGGTGCCAAGGTATAGGAATTGTTCCTTTTCAGTGCTTCTTCAAGGCACTCTCTAAACAGGGTCTCTCCCACTGGATTTTGGAGTCTATCTCCCTGGCATATAGCAGCAAGGGTTACCTAGTGGTGTCTATCTCCCTGGCATATAGCAGCAAGGGTTACCTAGTGGTGTCTATCTCCCTGGCATATAGCAGCAAGGGTTACCTAGTGGTGTCTATCTCCCTGGCATATAGCAGCAAGGGTTCCCTAGTGGAGGCTATCTCCCTGGCATATAGCAGCAAGGGTTACCTAGTGGTGTCTATCTCCCTGGCATATAGCAGCAAGGGTTACCTAGTGGAGGCTATCTCCCTGGCATATAGCAGCAAGGGTTACCTAGTGGTGTCTATCTCCCTGGCATATAGCAGCAAGGGTTACCTAGTGGTGTCTATCTCCCTGGCATATAGCAGCAAGGGTTCCCTAGTGGAGGCTATCTCCCTGGCATATAGCAGCAAGGGTTACCTAGTGGTGTCTATCTCCCTGGCATATAGCAGCAAGGGTTACCTAGTGGAGGCTATCTCCCTGGCATATAGCAGCAAGGGTTACCTAGTGGTGTCTATCTCCCTGGCATATAGCAGCAAGGGTTACCTAGTGGTGTCTATCTCCCTGGCATATAGCAGCAAGGGTTACCTAGTGGTGTCTATCTCCCTGGCATATAGCAGCAAGGGTTACCTAGTGGTGTCAGCGCTCACTCCACCAGGGGTCTGCCGGCGTCTTGGCCGTTTGTTTAATAGGAGATATTTGTGCTGCTGCGAGTTGGGCATCACCACACACTATTGTGAGGTTTTATGTCTTGGATGTCACTGCTCTCAGTGTAGCCCACAGTGTGCTTACGGTTGGGACCGGGGAAAGTCACTGGGCAGCACGCCGTGTGCGCAATACCCAGACGGTTGCATCTGGCGGGGTCAGGTCTGGGTGGTCTGCCACGGGCCGTTTCATTTGGTATCCGTTGGGGCCGGCTTGGGGCGTGATTATATTTCCCCATAGCAAGTTGTACCGAAATTGACTGACTGAAAGGGAACGTAACATTATGACTATATAACTACTGTTCCCTGAATGAGGGAAACTAGGTACAACACCTGTTGGGCCCCACGCCGCCCGTTCCTGGGCTCGGTGAAGAGCGGGATTAACTTGAAGGAATTAATCCGAGCCTCACGCTTATCACCTGTGGAAGGCGGGGCTTCTAGCGAGGCGCGGATTTCATTGGCCTTGTCAGGCGTGTAGATCCTTCAACCGAAGTCGCAAGAGTGCAACTCTCATAGTATGTTGTACCTCGTTTCCCTCTGAGGGAACAGTAGTTAGTCATAACATTACGGTATTGGCAATACTAGCCTAAAATATATCGATATTGGCAATAATGGTCTAAAAATATCGATATAGGCAATACTAGCCAAAAAAATATTGTTATCCATATGGGCAATATTAGCCTGAGGAATAAGTTGGTATAAATCCATCCCTACCTACAGGACATTGTGCCCCAGAACTACACCAGAGACCATAGAGACACCAAGGCTAACAACACTAAAGCTACTGCTAGCAGCTCTTCCTCCAATAAGCAGAAGGGCCAGGCTGGGAGCAAAGTGGAGCCAGGACACAAGAAGACCTCTGGGGGGAACAAGTCCCAGGGAGGAGACCCCCAGACCCAGACCCAGCCCCAGACCCGGACCCAGACCCAGACCCGGACAGGTTCAGGTGTGGCGTCACTCGTACACTGTAATAATATGGACATCAAGGTTAACGGTTTGGGGAGGCTGGTTTTCCAGACACAGATTAAGTCTAGTCCTAGACTACAAAATCAAGCTCAATGGAGAATCTCAATTGAAAAAAACTTTTTTTATTCCAGGTTTAATCTAACCCCTTGCTGTGGTAGTGATACAGAAATATGCACGCAACTCAAAAATGAATCAAAACTTTGAACATGTTCACGTTGATTCGCATGACACAGGTCCCAGCGCACAGAGCGGAGCCAGACGTTCCACCCCCACAGAGGAGGAGCAGAGACAGACCCAGATGAAGTACCTGGAGATCAAGGACCAGGTGGAGTGGTTCCTACGGGACCCAGACCAGACTGAGCTACGGTTTCCCTCGACCCTCAACTCCCACGACCGCCTGCTGGTTCACCAGGTATATAATGCTTTGTTGACTGACAGTTTTTATTAGTGTGCTTGCATCTGCAACTTAACTTCTACCGCTACCATTAAAATACTTCTGGACAGCTGAAACAAGCACCGTTTTTCTTCAGGAAAATTACCTTTTTGTAGTTGTACATTTATCAATGTACAAATTGTGGTGAGGCTTTTCATTTTGTGTTTCTCTTCGACACCGCAGAGGAGCTGGGCCTGTGTTGTACTTTGTTTGTTACTGTGCAAATAAATACAACTAAAATCTAAAACAGGTTGCAGAGGAGCTGGGCCTGAACCATGAGAGCCAGGGAGAGGGAAAGGACAGATGCATCACCGTCTCCAGACTCCCAGCAGGGCCTAACCAGGCTGGGGAAGGAGAGGGGCAACAATCCCTACAACCAGCAGCCGTCCTGGAGGGAGAGAAGAGCGTTACAGAGCCTCCTGCGGGACCTTCATGTCAACCAGCAGCCGTCCTGGAGGGAGAGAAGAGCGTCACAGAGCCTCCTGCAGGACCTTCATGTCAACCAGCAGCACCTGTAGATCTGAAGACTTTACATCTGGAACGAATGAGACGGGAGCAGGAGAAGAGGGAGGAGAAGCATCTAGAAGCATCAGCCGTCCGTTCAGCAGGACAGACTCCGTCTGCTAAGAAGACCAAGGCCAAAGGTTAGTGTAAAAAATGTTTGATCAACATTTGTCAAGGCTCACTCTAATTGCCTGCTTCATGTTTGATCCGATATTTATATTGATCATTTCTCTCCCCTTAGGGAAGACCAAGAAGACCAAAGCGGGTGCCTGTGAGATCGCTGCGGCTGCCACAGCGGACGATGACTTCGACACCCTAATAGATGCTGTGTTGAAGGCAGAACGCGTCTGTAGTTTTGTCAAGTGTAAAACGTCAGTAGTTCATCTGGGACAACTCTGTCTGTTCTGCAACAGACAGTACTGCCTCGGTCACCACATCCCTGAGGTAAGACTCAGTACTGCCTCGGTCACCACATCCCTGAGGTAAGACTCAGGTTGTTTCTAGATGTAGGCAAATCATTTTCTGACTATTGCTCTCACTGTATTGTGTTCCACTGTATAGTATACATTGGCGTTTTTAGCTGTCAGAGTTCATCCGTTAACTCGAGTTCATTTAATCAAGATGTCTATATTCTTGTAATGTTTTTAGCATGAAAAATCATAAGTCCAATGCAGCCGTTTTGATCTCTATCAAATCATTTCTGGTTAACAAATAAGTACCTTACTATGATTGTTTTTAATTAAAATGGCCAAAGACACAAAAATAGCTTCTTAGCAAAATGCAATTTCTCAAGCAACAATGTAACTAGGACAGTCTGTAAGTGGTCTGAGGGGGAGGGGCCTAATGGGAGAAAACCAGCTCTTATTGGCAGAGAACTCCTCTATGTACTGTGTTGTAACTCCTCTGTGTTGTAACTCCTCTATGTACTGTGTTGTAACTCCTCTATGTACTGTGTTGTAACTCCTCTATGTACTGTGTTGTAACTCCTCTGTGTTGTAACTCCTCTATGTAACTGTGTTGTAATCTCTATGTACTGTGTTGTAACTCTCTATGTACTGTGTTGTAACTCCTCATTATGTTAACTGTGTTGTAACTCATCTATGTACTGTGTTGTAACTCTCTATGTACTTGTGTTTGGTTAACTCCTCTATGTACTGTGTTGTAACTCCTCTGTGTAACTGTGTTGTAACTCCTCTATGTACTGTGTTGTAACTCCTCTGTGTAACTGTGTTGTAACTCCTCTGTGTAACTGTGTTGTAACTCCTCTGTGTTGTAACTCCTCTATGTACTGTGTTGTAACTCCTCTATGTACTGTGTTGTAACTCCTCTATGTACTGTGTTGTAACTCCTCTGTAACTGTGTTGTAACTCCTCTATGTACTGTGTGTAACTCCTCTATGTACTGTGTTGTAACTCCTCCATGTAACTGTGTTGTAACTCCTCTATGTACTGTGTTGTAACTCATCTATGTACTGTGTTGTAACTCCTCATGTAACTGTGTTGTAACTCCTCTGTGTTGTAACTCCTCTATGTACTGTGTTGTAACTCCTCTGTGTAACTGTGTTGTAACTCCTCTATGTACTGTGTTGTAACTCCTCTATGTAACTGTGTTGTAACTCCTCTATGTACTGTGTTGTAACTCATCTATGTACTGTGTTTGTAACTCCTCTGTAACTGTGTTGTAACTCCTCTATTGTAACTCTCTATGTACTGTGTTGTAACTCATCTATGTACTGTGTTGTAACTCCTCTGTACTGTGTTGTAACTCCTCTGTGTTGTAACTCCTCTATGTACTGTGTTGTAACTCCTCTGTGTAACTGTGTTGTAACTCCTCTGTGTTGTAACTCCTCTATGTACTGTGTTGTAACTCATCTATGTACTGTGTTGTAACTCCTCTGTGTAACTGTGTTGTAACTCCTCTGTGTTGTAACTCATCTATGTACTGTGTTGTAACTCATCTATGTACTGTGTTGTAACTCCTCTGTGTAACTGTGTTGTAACTCCTCTGTGTTGTAACTCCTCTATGTACTGTGTTGTAACTCCTCTGTGTAACTGTGTTGTAACTCCTCTTGTGTTGTAACTCCTCTATGTACTGTGTTGTAACTCATCTTGTGTAATCCTGTGTTGTAACTCCTCTGTGTAACTGTGTTGTAACTCCTCTGTGTTGTAACTCCTCTATGTACTGTGTTGTAACTCCTCCATGTAACTGTGTTGTAACTCCTCTATGTACTGTGTTGTAACTCCTTTATGTACTGTGTTGTAACTCCTCTATGTACTGTGTTGTAACTCCTCTGTGTGTTGTAACTCCTCTATGTACTGTGTGTTCCTGTGTTGTAACTCCTCCTATGTAACTGTGTTGTAACTCTCATGTCTGTGTTGTAACTCCTCTATGTACTGTGTTGTAACTCCTCTATGTACTGTGTTGTAACTCCTCTATGTACTGTGTTGTAACTCCTCTATGTACTGTGTTGTAACTCCTCTATGTACTGTGTTGTAACTCCTCTATGTACTGTGTTGTAACTCCTCTATGTACTGTGTTGTAACTCCTCTGTGTTGTAACTCCTCTATGTTGTAACTCCTCTGTGTGTAACTCCTCTATGTACTGTGTTGTAACTCCTCTATGTACTGTGTTGTAACTCCTCTATGTACTGTGTTGTAACTCCTCTATGTACTGTGTTGTAACTCCTCTAGGTCCATGGGTGTGGTGACCAAGCCAAGGCCAATGCCAGGATGAGGATTAGTAAAGAAGGTGTGCTGTATGCTGGTAGTGGACACAAGGACAGGTCTGTAGATCCTAACAAGAAGGCCTATCTACACCGGAAGCTGGACTCCAAACTCAAAGGCATGGAAAAGCAGCGGAAGACCAAACCCAAAGAGAAGGAGAATAATTGACCTTTTTAAATCCAGTTTGTCAATGACTGTAAGCTCTGAGGATGACCATATGTGGGCTAAATAGATATAATTATTTAAACAGATTACTGCTAGATCATTTCAACCTGTCTGTCAATATCTTGTGTTAATATGGTATATAACTCAATGTGTCTCATACTCACACATACAGGACATCCAGTAAAGGGTGTTGTCCATTAACTTAGAGAATAGAAATGTGTCTTTTATGCTCACAACCCAGTCCCCCGAGACACACACCCCCTGCTGGACTGGAGGCAATGGGTCATCTGCAGTGCCGCGCCTCTGAAACAATTTGTAGGGGGTTAGTGCCTTGGTCATTGGCACAATGGCAAGGGACGGTATCTAGGAAGATTTCAGCAACCCTCCAGTTGCCGGCTCACTATGCACCAGATTTTCCCATCTGAGCTGGGATTCGTACTGGCAACCCTCCGGGTACTGGCACTGAGCTGGGATTCGTACTGGCAACCCTCCGGGTACTGGCAACCCTCCGGGTACTGGCAACCCTCCGGGTACTGGCAACCCTCCGGGTACTGGCCCGCTACTTTAATATTATTAAATATTTCTAGACTTTTATCAATGATTCCGATTTGATTATGGTTGACATTAGTCTTTTTGTCGAAGATGCTACTAAAGTATATTTTTTGTTTGTTTTATCTGATCATGTACTTGCAACCTTTTGTAGGCCCGTGGATCGATTTCCAAATGATATAAAATGTAAATAAATGGATTTCAGTCGGGGTGTCAACTTACTAGTAGAAAACACAAGGTGCAGTTTCGAAATGTAGTTGTGCATCATCCCTCAACTAGCCCATGTCAGCAAAAAAATTAATAATTGATTGGTAAGGGGCGCTGCACTGCAGATGACCCATTGCCTCCAGTCCAGCAGGGGGGGTGTGTCTCGGGGGACTGGGTTGTGACCATAAAGACATATTTCCATTCTCTAAGTTAATGGACAATAAAGTACTACCGGCCAGCAACTAAGTTTCACTTGGGGCCCTGAGCCCGGTTGCATAAAACATCTTAAGTGTTTCCCTTAAGGATTTCCCTTAGGTAAGGGGAAATGATTCCTTAAGGGAATTGTTTAAGGGCGTTGCGCGCATACGTCCAGTAAGGGGCCGTCCATTTGCCATATGGTGAGTCCCACCGATCATACGGACGCCGCCGTTTCGGGTCCTTATGTAGGTAAGGGCATACTTAAGGGGTTTAAGTCATGTAAGGGCATACTTAAGGGGTTTTATGGTAGTTTGAAGTCATGTAAGGCGGGAGATGACCCGATTCACTCACTGAACGTCTCATCAAAGAGCATTTATTTTGGGAGATCGCAAAATAGAACTTCTACATTCAAGACAGGAGGAAACAAGTTGATTCAGAAGATAATAAAACATGTTTCTCTACTTTAATCTCAGCTTGTTTCTATTACTTTCTAGCACATCGAGCTAACTTACAGAGTAGGTAGCTAGCTAGCTAGCCAAGTAGCTAGCTTTGTAGGCAATGGATTGTGCCCCTTCCATTGTTTCGCTATGTAGCTAGCTAGCTTTACACCTAGCTAGCTGGTTGATGTTTTCCTTTTTGCAACCAGGGCAGAGGAAAACATTCACCTGCACAAATTCACCTTAAAATGTTTTGTGCAACTGACTTAGTCAACCAGGACCAGGTGGCATAAAACGTCTGAAGTTATTTTTCTCCTCATAATTGCCCTGAAAGTTTCCTTAACTTTAAGTCAGTTGCACAAAACATTTTAAGGTGAATTTCCCCCATAAATTAAGTGAAAAAGTTAAGGGTGCCCATGAGGTCCCTGAACTGCTTCATTCAGTATGGATATAAATGGAAACAGCATTTGTGGAGGTGCCCTGGTTTCAATAAATCAAATTAAATTTTATTTGTCACATATACACGTGTTTAGCAGATGTTATTACGGGTGTAGCGAAATGCTTGTGCTTCTAGCTCTGACAGTGCAGTAATATCTAACAAGTAATATCTAACAATTTCACAACATATACACACAAATCTAGTAAGGAATGGAATTTAAGAATATATACATATATGGACTAAGATACAGTAGAATATTATAGAATAGAATGCAGTATATACATATGAGATGAGTAGTGCAAGATATGGAAACATTATTAAAGTGACTAGTGTTCCATTTCTTAAAGTGGCCAGTGATTTCAATAGGCAGCAGCAGCCTCTAATGTGCTAGTGATGGCTATTTAACAGTCTGATGGCCTTGAGTTAGAAGCTGTTTTTCATTCTCTCGGTCCCAGCTTTGATGCACCTGTACTGACCTCGCCTTCTGGATGATAGCGGGGTGAACAGGCAGTGGCTCGGGTGGTTGATGTCCTTGATTATCTTTTTGGCCTTCCTGTGACATCGGGTGCTGTATGTGTCTTGGAGGGCGGGTAGTTTGCCCCCGATAATGCGTTCGGCAGACTGCACCACCCTCTGGAGAGCCCTGCGGTTGTGGGCGGTGCAGTTGCCGTACCAGGCGGTGATACAGCCCGACAGCCCGACAGGATGAGTCGGACGGCAGAGTGAAGGAAAAGCAGCCAACAAGTGCTCAGTATATGTGGGAACTCCTTCAAGACTGTTGGAAAAGCATTCCAGGTGAAGCTGGTTGAGAGAACGCCAAGAGTGTGCAAAGCTGTCATCAAGGCAAAGGGTGGCTATTTGAAGAATCTCAAATATAAAATATATGTTGATTTGTTTAACACTTTTTTGGTTACTACATGATTCCATATGTGTTATTTCATAGTTTTGATGTCTTCACTATAATTCTACAATGTAGAAAATAGTAAAAAAATAAAGAAAAACCCTTGACTGAGTAGGTGTGTCCAAACTTCTGACTGGTAGTGTACATTCATACATATACCTACTGTAGGTCAGGGCCTGGTTGCATTAAACATCTGAAGTATTTCCCTTAAGGAATAGTTTTCCCTTACCTAAGGGCGTTGTTTAAGGGCGTTGCATAGAGCCCCTCAAATATTTCCTAAGATAAAGGCATCATTATTTAAGGATTTTATGGCAGAAAGAGTATCTGGTTACCAAGGAGACACACAGCCTGGAATCGAACCAGGGGGTCTGTAGTGACGCCTCAAGCACTGAGATGCAGTGCCTTAGACCGCTGCGCCACTCGGGAGCCCAGTACATGGAGTACACAGTGCAGTGAAATGCTTCCTTGCAGGTTAACCTCACGACAATGCATCAACAATAGAACAAGTAAGTGAATAAAAACAATTAAAAGCTCAATGAAATCATTTCTCCAATTTAATAATGGGCAGTTTTTTTTTACAAATACTTACATAGTCTATATGGAAATAACAGACATGAGCCAAGCATGTTTCATTTAGTTAGTTCGACCACCTCAACATTGCTCATTTTATACAGGGTGGTGCAACTCAATATTAGGAAGGTGTTCTTAATGTTTGGTATACTCTGTGGATGTTACACATCATACAAGCCTGCATACAGCGCATTCAGAAAGTATTCAGACCCCTTGACTTTTTCCACATTTTGTTACGTTTCAGCCTTATTCTAAAATGGATTAAATAGTTGTTGTTTTTTCTCATCAATCTACACACAATACCCCATAATGACAAAGCAAAAACAGGTTTTTAGACATTTTTGCCAATTTATTAAAAATAACAAAAATAAATACCTTATTTACATAAGTATTCAGACCCTTTGCTATGAGACTCGAAATTGAGCTCAGGTGCATCCTGTTTCCATTGATCATCCTTGAGATGTTTCTACAACTTGATTGGAGTCCACCTGTGGTAAATTCAATTGATTGGACGTGATTTGGAAAGGCAAACACCTGTCTATATAAGGTCCCACAGTTGACAGTGCGTGTCAAAGCCCGGACTTGAACCTGATTGAACATCTCTGGAGAGACCTGAAAATAGCTGTGCAGCGACGCTCCCCATCCAACCTGACAGAGCTTGAGAGGATCTGCAGAGAAGAATGGGAGAAACTCCCCAAATACAGGTGTGAAGGAAAAAAAACTATTTAATCCATTTTAGAATAAGGCTGTAACGTAAAACAAAATGTGGAAAAAGTCAAGGGGTCTGAATACTTTTCGAAGGCACCATTTTGTTACATGGAAGTGTGAAAAGATAATACATTATTTTGTCTGTTATCTGAACTTTAACACCAACTAGATAAAAGGTAGAACAATCAGAGTTCTCTTCAAACATCTACAATGTTCGAATATGTAAATGTGGTGGTTTTATTAAAAATACAAGAATAAATACATTCTAAGAATAGTTCATATTCCATTTTATAATCAAAACATTTTGACCAGATGTATCATTATATCGAAATGGATTAAATATAAAATTACAAAATGTTATGTCAGTAAATATATTTCTTACACATTAAACAAAGTTATGATGCAAAACGATTCATTCTAGAAAGTTGCAATGCATTCCAAATGAGTTGGATTGATTATCACAATATTACTGGTGTGTATGTTATACAATATGCAGAAAATTATTGGAAATCTGTAAGATTTTTTTTTTGTATCAATGATGATATAAATATGGATATTATCAATCAATAAATAAAAAGCCATTGTGTTTACAGAGTGACTTTTGATAATCAAAAACCACATTTGTTTGTTTACTTGTTCTACTTGGCAAAGAAAACATGCAATAACTACCCACATGGCGTAATAACTACCCACATGGCGTAATAACTACCCACATGGCATAATAACTACCCACATGGCGTAATAACTACCCACATGGCGTAATAACTACCCACATGGCGTAATAACTACCCACATGGCGTAGTAACTACCCACATGGCGTAATAACTACCCACATGGCGTAATAACTACCCACATGGCGTAATAACTACCCACATGGCGTAATAACTACCCACATGGCGTAATAACTACCCACATGGCGTAGTAACTACCCACATGGCGTAGTAACTACCCACATGGCGTAATAACTACCCACATGGCGTAATAACTACCCACATGGCGTAATAACTACCCACATGGCGTAATAACTACCCACATGGCGTAGTAACTACCCACATGGCGTAATAACTACCCGCATGGCGTAATAACTACCCACATGGCGTAATAACTACCCACATGGCGTAATAACTACCCACATGGCGTAATAACTACCCACATAGCGTAATAACTACCCACATGGCGTAATAACTACCCACATGGCGTAATAACTACCCACATGGCGTAATAACTACCCACATAGCGTAATAACTACCCACATAGCGTAATAACTACCCGCATAGCGTAATAACTACCCGCATGGCGTAATAACTACCCACATGGCGTAATAACTACCCACATGGCGTAATAACTACCCACATGGCGTAATAACTACCCACATGGCGTAATAACTACCCACATGGCGTAATAACTACCCACATGGCGTAGTAACTACCCACATGGTGTAATAACTACCCACATGGCGTAATAACTACCCACATGGTGTCACTGCTGCTAATCAACATTAGAACCAATCATATTCACACCATAGCTACAACAACTAAATAAATGACAATAATATATTTACAGTTTATTATTATTCAACATGCAAGTGATTGGTCAGACAACATCGTTTTCCCAATAATACACGATAAGAGTTTTCCTTCTTTCCCAATAATACACGATAAGAGTTTTCCTTCTTTCCCAATAATACACGATAAGAGTTTTCCTTCTTTCCCAATAATACACGATAAGAGTTTTCCTTCTTTCCCAATAATATTTTGCCTTGAATAGTGTTGTAGTGTTATAGACTGAAAATAAACTTTTGGTTTTCCAGAAATAAATGCTGAATAGAACTAGGAATTGATACTTAACTAGAAAAAGTACATTTCCTGAAGAAAATGTGGTGTGCTTGCAAGCTTGGTTTAAAGTATGTATGATTTTGAATTAAGTTATAGTAGTGGTAGTGTCTGGTTATAGTTATAGTAGTGGTAGTGACTGGTTATAGTTATAGTAGTGGTAATGACTGGTTATAGTTATAGTAGTGGTAGTGACTGGTTATAGTTATAGTAGTGGTAGTGATTGGTTATGGTTATAGTAGTGGTAGTGTCTACAGTAGTAATGGTAGTGTCTGGTTATAGTTATATAAGTGGTAGTGTCTGCAGTAGTAATGGTGGTGACTGGTTATAGTTGAAAAAGTAGGTAGATTAAAATATTGATTGATTGGTTGACAGGATAGGATGGCCTGAACATTCAACATATAGTTTGGTGTCTCTAGCTTGAACGGTTCAATTATAGTTGGTGGGTATTATATGCAAATGTTTTTGACCCTGCTGGTCATCTATGAACGTTTGAACATCTTGGAGAAAAATCAGGCCTTAATGGCCATGTACTGTTATAATCTCCACCTGCCACAGCCAGAAGGGGACTGGCCACCCCTCAGAGCCTGGTTCCTCTCTAGGTTTCTGCCTTTCTAGGGAGTTTTTCCAAGCCACCGTGCTTCTACATCTGCATCGCTTGCTGTTTGGGGTTTTAGGCTGGGTTTCTGTATAGCACTTTGTGACAACTGCTGATGTAAAAAGGGCTTTATAAATACATTTGATTGATTGATTGATTGATTGATTGATATGAACATTTAAGTAGTTATAGTTTATAGTGCAGACCAGTGCTAGCCAAGCCCAGGACCGGTGCAGCTAGTTGTGGTTCAGTAGATGTGTGGTTCAGTAGTTGTGTGGTTCAGTAGATGTGTGGTTGTGGTCAGTAGATGTGTGGTTGTGGTCAGTAGATGTGTGGTTGTGGTCAGTAGATATGTGGTTGTGGTCAGCAGATGTGTGGTTGTGGTCAGTAGATGTGTGGTTGTGGTCAGTAGATGTGTGGTTGTGGTCAGCAGATGTGTGGTTGTGGTCAGCAGATGTGGTCAGATTGATCGATTAGATAGGATGGCCTGAACATGTGAAAGTTGGTTTGGCGTCTCTAGCTTGAACGGTTCAAGAGTTACTGTTGATGGGTTATTTTATGCTATTTTATGCAAATGTATAAAGAATTTGAAGTTAGGATAGCCTGAGTGTTTTAAAGGTAGTCTTGTAGCTTAATTGGCCAAAGGAGCAGGACCTTTTTGAATAGCTACCTCTGTATTCCTATGGTTCCCATTCAAACCCATGTTAATTTATGCACATTGTAAATGGCTATAGTTCAAAAAGTATACAGAGTATGAAAACTCATTTGACAAGCAATCTAAGTTGGGCCAGTCTGAACATCCCAACGTTGATAGCTTAAACGGTGAAAGAGGAGATAGGTAGAGAATTTTCTAGTTCTTTACCAAGTCTATGGAGCTTTTTCTTTTTCATTGAAATGCATTGGGAGTTCATCTAAATATTATTATAGTTCAAAAAGTATAAATGCTATCAAAAACATTTTCTCAAGCAATCTAAGCTAGGCCAGTCTGCACATTTGGAAGTTGTTTTCATGTTTATAGCTTAAATTGTTTAAGCGCTAGAAGCAGACGGATTTAATAAGATGTAAGAAATCTAGAGTTGTGTTTTGCCTTCAGCAAGCACACCTAATAATTAATAACATCATGTGGGTTGAACTGCTCCTTAGTCACTTAGGGGTGAAAACTAACTTCCACTTGAGTAGATTTTTCACTTAATCATGCATTAACGTTAACGTTAATGGGAGACTAAAGTGAAAATTAAACTTACCGTAAGAGGAAGTTCGAATTCCCTCTTAGAAAGCTGTATACCCCTTGGAGTTTGGTAAAGACAGAGACTAGTTTTTAGTTTTGATAGCTTTATCAAACGCTAAAGTCAAATGAACACAAGCATATCCTGACCGTCCATTTGATCAGCGCCTTCATCTCTTGGTGATTTATGCATTCTTTAGTTGTAGTGTTATGTTCTCAACTGTGATTGGACAATTTGCAGTATGTTTGCTGAGAACTGATGATAAAAAGGTTGTACAGAAATATGTTGATGATATGGCCATTAAACACCTTTACAGTAGTAATATATAGAAAACATATAGCTCAATTTGCCTTTCGATGGCTATATTTAAAATACAATTTAGTTAAATTCAAATAATAATAGAAAGTGTGGCCAAAATCATAGTGATTTCACTTTATCCCAAACAATAATGTTTAACATATCTTCCAATTTACATGCTTGCAATGAATCTTCCAGCATACCCTAACCAAAGTGAACATTATGCTAAACTATCAGATTGATCTAAAACAGAACTAAGAAGTATATTGGATTTCTTCCTCCTCACCCTATGACAAAAAAAACTACAATACATCATGTACAACAGTGTAATACATCTATCACTGTATCCTCCTCATCTGTCCTGTCTTGTCCTCACACCGGGGTGGTTAGTCATGAACTACAGTCCTGTCTTGTCCTCACACCGGGGTGGTTAGTCATGAACTACAGTCCTGTCTTGTCCTCACACTGGGGTGGTCGAACTACAGCAGCCAGTCAACAGACTGTATCCGAGTCTGTGTTCAGTTTAGTTAGGACATTCAGATATGTGTTCAGTTTAGTTCAGATATGTGTTCAGTTTAGTTCAGATATGTGTTCAGTTTAGTTCAGATATGTGTTCAGTTTAGTTCAGATATGTGTTCAGTTTAGTTCAGATATGTGTTCAGCAGTCTGCCCATCCAGAAGTGCAGTCTGGCTCTCCTATGTGACTGTGGTTGGGGCATCACTGAGTGTTATTACATAGTGTCCTCAAGTCCCAGGCACTATGCCTCATAACCTCACACAAACCCAGGCTTCATGGAGGACCGCCGGCATTTAGGGCAGCCCTTGGAACCGTTGTTCTGTAGGCACCTGAGAGGAGGAGGAAGAGGAGGAGGAGGAGGAGGAGGAGGAGGAAAAGAAGAACTGAAAAAAGGAACTCTGAACTGACCCACGTCAAATCCCCCATAATTCTACCCCTGGACATGAAACATGTAGAATATGTTAAGCAAGGCAAGAGCACCTACTGGAGGTGGAAGATGTGAGAGCAGAGCCATATGTAGTAATAACAAGTAGACTATATAACACGTAGCATGTAGATGGGGTCACCTACTGGAGGTGGAAGATGTGAGAGCAGGGCAGAGCCTGCAGTTGCTGGTTCCTCTCTCCTATGGACTCGCCACACATCCCACAGTACAGCTCCAGCTCCTCAACACACTGCAGGAACTTCACCACCTGCTCCCTCAGCTCCTCCTGGCTCTCCTTACTGCGGTAGATCCCCTCGCTGAGACAGTGCACCTTTAGACTGCACAGCTAACAGACAGAGGTATGTAGGGTTAGAGTCAACGCACAGACAGAACAGAGCTGACTTACTGCTGTAGATCCCCTCATTCAGACTACACAGCTATGGGACAAGAACTGGAAATTAGCACAGGCTAAAGTGTGACGGTGCATCTGATTGTTGCATGATTGTTTTAATTGTACAGTATGTTTTATTACAGTAAAAAAGGCAGCATCTTTTCACGGTATTGATTCAGAACTGTGTGCACAGTACCTTGGTTCCTAAAGCCTCAGACAACTCCTGCGCTCGCTGCAGAGCATCCAGAGCCTTGTCTAGTTCTTTCTGCTGGAGCCAACACTTCCCTACCCCCAGGTACACCTGGGTCTGGCCAAGACGGTTCCCAATCTCTGTCATTATACACATGGAGGACTCATAACGAGGCAATGCTTTCTGGAGGAGAGGAGAGGAGAGGAGAGGAGAGGAGAGGAGAGGAGAGGAGAGGAGAGGAGAGGAGAGGAGAGGGAGAGGAGAGGAGAGGACGAGGAGAAGAGATGTGAAGGAGAGGAGAGGAGAGGAGAGGAGAGGAGAGGAGAGGAGAGGAGAGGAGAGGAGAGGAGAGGAGAGGAGAGGGGAGGAGAGGAGAGGAGAGGAGAGGAGAGGAGAGGAGAGGAGAGGAGAGGAGAGGAGAGGAGAGGAGAGGAGAGGAGAGGAGAGGAGAGGAGAGGAGAGGAGAGGAGAGGGGAGGGGAGGAGAGGGGAGGGGAGGAGAGGGGGGGGGAGGAGAGGAGAGGGGAGGGGAGGGGAGGGGAGGGGAGGAGAGGAGAGAAGAGGGGCGGGGGAGGAGGAGAGGAGGGGAGGAGGGGGAGGAGAGGAGGGTAATCTAGCCCAGCTCAAATTGAAGGAATGTTTTGCCTCTTCGGATTACATAAATTGATCTCTAACAGTGTAGTATAGATAGTATTTGGTGGCAGCTTACATCAACGTCGTTCCGGCAGCGGTGGATATCAGCGAAGTTCAGTAAGCACAGCGCCTGGAGAGGACGGTCCCCGTGCTGCAGGGCTATCTTCATGGACTCCTGGAGGACAGGGGGGACTGTGTTTAGTGTGACACACAACCTCTGAACAACAAACACACCCAAAACGTCTAAACAACACATCCATCCTGTACATCAGCTAAGTCCTCCTGCTTTTACCATCCCAGGTCAAAATGAATCACAATCAACTTTATTCACCAAGGACATTAACATGCACCAGGAATTTGACCTGGTGAATTTGACCTGGTGCAAAGATGCAATAAACATTTAATCTAATGTTATTGGTCGACATATTTAGCAGATGTTATCGCGGGTGCAGCGAAATGCTCATGGTGTGTATAGACAGAATGGACAGCATATGAATAGAAAGGTTGTGTCCAAATCTAATTTTATTTGTCACATGCACCGAATGCAACAGGTGTAGACCTTACAGTGAAATGCTTACTTACAGCCCTTAACCAACAATGCAGTTTTAAGAAAGAATACCTAAAAAAACATTAGAAATAAAAGTTACAAATAATTAAAGAGCAGCAGTAAAATAACAGTAGGGAGGCTATATACAGGGGGTACTGGTACAGAGTCAATGTGCGGGGGGCACCGGTTAGTCGAGGTAGTTGAGGTAATATGTACATGTGGGTAGAGTTAAAGTGACTATGCATAGATAATAAACAGAGAGTAGCAGCAGTGTAAAAGAGGGGTTGGGGGGCAATGCAAATAGTCTGGGTAGCCATTTGATTAGATGTTCAGGAGTCTTATGGCTTGGAGGTAGAAGCTGTTAAGAAGCCTTTTGGACCTAGACTTGGCGCTCCGGTACCGCTTGCCATACGGTAGCAGAGAGAACAGTCTATGACTAGGGTGGCTGGAGTCTTTGACAACCGCCTGGTATAGAGGTCCTGGATGGCAGGTTGCCATACCAGGCAGTGATGCAACCAGTCAGGATGCTCTCGATGGTGCTGCTGTATAACCTTTTGAGGATCTGAGGACCCATGCCAAATATTTTCAGTCTCCTGAGGTGGAATAGGCTTTGTCGTGCCCTCTTCACGACTGTCTTGGTGTGTTTGGACCATGATAGTTTGTTGGTGATGTGGACACCAAGGAACTTGAAGCTCTCAACCTGCTCCACTACAGCCCCGTCGATGAGAATGGGGGCGCGCTCGGTCCTCTTCTTTTTCCTGTAGTCCACAATCATCTCCTTTGTCTTGATCACGTTGAGGGTGAGGTTGTTGTCCTGGCACCACACGGCCAGGTCTCTGACCTCCTCCCTATAGGCTGTCTCGTCGTTGTCGGTGATCAGGCCTACCACTGTTGTGTCGTCGGCAAACTTAATGATGGTGTTGGACTCGTGCCTGGCCATGCAGTCATGAGTGAACAGGGAGTACAGGAGGGGACTAAGCACGCATCCCTGAGGAGCCCCAGTGTTGAGGATCAGCGTGGCAGATGTGTTGTTCCCTACCCTTACCACCTGGGGGGCGGCCCGTCAGGAAGTCCAGGATCCAGTTGCAGAGGGAGGTGTTTAGTCCCAGGGTCCTTAGCTTAGTGATGAGCTTTGAGGGCTCCTTCAGATATAACTACAGCAGTAGTTATATTGGATGAACCTTGACTAGAATACAGTATATACATATATATTAAGTGGGTACAACAGTATGTAAACATTATTAAAATGACCAGTGCTCCATTATTAAAGTGACCAGTGTTCCATGTCTATGTATATAGGGCAGCAGCCTCTAAGTTCAGGGTAGAGTGACTGGGTGGTAGCCGGCTAGTGACAGTGACTAAGTTCAGGGCAGGGTACCGGGTGGTAGCCGGCTAGTAACAGTGACTAAGTTCAGGGCAGGGTACCGGGTGGTAGCCGGCTAGTGACAGTGACTAAGTTCAGGGTTGAGTGACTGGGTGGTAGCCGGCTAGTGACAGTGACTAAGTTCAGGGCAGGGTACCGGGTGGTAGCCGGCTAGTGACAGTGACTAAGTTCAGGGTTGAGTGACTGGGTGGTAGCCGGCTAGTGACAGTGACTAAGTTCAGGGTAGAGTGACTGGGTGGTAGCCGGCTAGTGACAGTGACTAAGTTCAGGGCAGGGTACCGGGTGGTAGCCGGCTAGTGACAGTGACTAAGTTCAGGGCAGGGTACCGGGTGGTAGCCGGCTAGTGACAGTGACTAAGTTCAGGGTTGAGTGACTGGGTGGTAGCCGGCTAGTGACAGTGACTAAGTTCAGGGCAGGGTACGGGTGGTAGCCGGCTAGTGACAGTGACTAAGTCAGGGTGGTGACTGGTGGTAGCCGCTGTGACAGTGACTAAGTTCAGGGTAGAGTGACTGGGTGGTAGCCGGCTAGTGACAGTGACTAAGTTCAGGGCAGGGGTACTGGGTGGATGCCGGCTAGTGACAGTGACTAAGTTCAGGGCAGGGTACCGGGTGGTAGCCGGCTAGTAACAGTGACTAAGTTCAGGGTTGAGTGACTGGGTGGTAGCCGGCTAGTGACAGTGACTAAGTTCAGGGCAGGGTACCGGGTGGTAGCCGGCTAGTGACAGTGACTAAGTTCAGGGTTGAGTGACTGGGTGGTAGCCGGCTAGTGACAGTGACTAAGTTCAGGGCAGGGTACCGGGTGGTAGCCGGCTAGTGACAGTGACTAAGTTCAGGGTTGATGGACTGGGTGGTAGCCGGCTAGTGACAGTGACTAAGTTCAGGGTAGAGTGACTGGGTGGTAGCCGGCTAGTGACAGTGACTAAGTTCAGGGCAGGGTACTGGGTGGATGCCGGCTAGTGACAGTGACTAAGTTCAGGGCAGGGTACCGGGTGGTAGCCGGCTAGTGACAGTGACTAAGTTCAGGGCAGGGTACCGGGTGGTAGCCGGCTAGTGACAGTGACTAAGTTCAGGGCAGGGTACCGGGTGGTAGCCGGCTAGTGACAGTGACTAAGTTCAGGGCAGGGTACTGGGCGGGGGCCGGCTAGTGATGGCTATTTAACAGTCTGCTGGCCTTGAGATAGAAGCAGTTTTTCAGTCTCTCCGTCTCAGCTTTGATGTACCTGTACTGTCAGAATATACAGGCAGAATGTACTGTCAGAATATACAGACAGAATATAGACAACCAATATGACCATGACTGTTTGTTTTGTCAGAGTTTTCTAGGGATACTCTGGCCCTAACCTTAAACAACTCTTAGGCTGCGTCCCAAATGGCACCCTATTCCCTATAGGGCACAACCTTTGACCTTATGGGCCCTGGTCAACAGTAGTACACTTTAAAGGGAATAGGGCAGGGTTCTTCAATTCCGGTCCTGGAGGGCCGAAACACCTCTGTTTTTCATCCCTTTCCCTTTTAATTTAGGGGCTAATTCAGACCCGGGACACCAGGTGAGTTTCAATTAACTACCAGGTAGAAAAAAAAAACAGAAGTTTTCGGCCCCCCAGGACCGGAATTGAAGAACCTGCCCTATTCCCCTTTAAAGTGTACTACTGTTGACCAGGGCCCTAAGGTCAAAGGTTGTGCCCTATAGGGAATAGGGTGCCATTTGGGACGCAGCCCTGACCCCTAGACACTGGATAGGGGTAAACAATGGAGACCTGACCCCTAGACACTGGATAGGGGTAAACAATGGAGACCTGACCCCTAGACACTGGATAGGGGTAAACAATGGAGACCTGACCCCTAGACACTGGATAGGGGTAAACAAAGGAGACCTGACCCTAGACACTGGATAGGGGTACAACAATGGAAGACCGGCTGAACCCTAGACACCCGGATAGGGGTAAACAATGGAGACCTGACCCCTAACCCTGGATAGGGGTAAAAAAGGGAGCCCTCCCCCCAAAACACTGGATAGTGGAAAACAAGGGAGCCCCTGACCCCAGACAGGAAGGGGTAAAAAAGGAGACCTGACCTGAAATGGATAGGGGTAAACAATGGGGACCTGCCCCTGAACGGTGGGGGTACAATAACCCCTCCCCTGAAACTGTGGGGGCCCCAGAACCCCTTTGCCCCTTAACACCTATGGTAAAATTAACCTGCCCCTGACACCTTGGGGAAACCAATTTAGCCCTTTAAACCCCTAGACCCCTGTCTGGGTACCGGGGAAGCTCACCTTCCCCTCTGATAGGCTAGCCTTGTCACCTTTTCCCCTTGCCCTCTGATAGGTACCCTATGGTCGACCAGTCATCACCTTGCCCTCTGATAGGCTAGCCTATGGTCTACCAGTCATCACCTGCCCTCTGATAGGCTAGCCTATGGTCGACCAGTCATCACCTTGCCCTCTGATAGGCTAGCCTATGGTCGACCAGTCATCACCTTGCCCTCTGATAGGCTAGCCTATGGTCACCAGCCACACCCTTTTGTACCGGCGAACACAATTGTTGTGCTGCCAGTCCACCATCCTTTCCCCTTGATGGGGCCAGGTACCATACCCCTTCCCCCTTGATGCTGCCATTCTACCATTACAGGAAAACCATGGTTTGTTCCCCTTGCCAGTCTACCTTGGCAAACCAATTTCCCCTTGAGGCTGCCGGTCACCTTCAACCCCCTTGCCCGTGCTGCCATTCCCCCCATCAACCTTGTTGATGGCTCCAGGTCAACCTTCAACTTCCCCTTGAAGGGATTTCCCAAACAGCACACCCCCTTTTCCTATGGAAAAACCCTTGGAAAGGGAGTTGTGACCGTTATTGTTTTAACTCCTTGGTGGTCCCCCCGGGCGGGGGGTTTCAAAAAATTTTACATGAAAAATTTTTTACAAAAAAAAATCGCATCTTTTGATTTTCTGAAAACACCAAACCCCTTTTTAAATACACCCACCCTCCAAAACCAAGGCCTCTGGTTTCCAATTTATCCCTTTATCAGAAAAAATTTTCTTTTTTTGGGAAAACCCCTAAACCACCCCCCCAAAAGTTTTCCCCCTTTTTTTTTTTTTTTTTTTTTTTTTTTTTTTTTTTTTTTTTTTTTTTTTTTTTTTTTTTTTTTTTTTTTTTTTTTTTTTTTTTTTTTTTTTTTTTTTTTTTTTTTTTTTTTTTTTTTTTTTTTTTTTTTTTTTTTTTTTTTTTTTTTTTTTTTTTTTTTTTTTTTTTTTTTTTTTTTTTTTTTTTTTTTTTTTTTTTTTTTTTTTT